CACAATGAAAATACATTATTGTCAAGTGGTTTCTAAGTAGGAAGCTTAAACCCATGGGAAGGAATAAATTTTAAATTCATTTTAGCTGTATCTCTTGGGAATTTTCCTGGAGAGCAAACTGAAGGGCTCAAGAAAAAAGGCGGTAATTTTTTCCATCTTTACTCATAGTTAAAAATTTATATCTGTAAAAGGAAATAGGCTGCAAGATAAAAGAGTTTGGTTATATAAAGTTGTCAAAAATAGAATTTGGCTTTGGGGCTGTGACTTTGATACCTGAGTGATAGGGTCTGGAAAAGACACAGGGGAATATTACATACCTCCATAAAATGATCTCAGATAAACCTCTGCTCCAGTTATGCCCACTACATTATTTTAGATTAATCAGTGCTAATTTAATGAAGTGAGTGTATAAAATATCTTAGGGGTAAGCACGAACTTAAAGTGCCAGGGAAACACTAACCAGACAATTATAGGCTCCTCCTTTGGAATTTCTGTGTCAAAAGACGTAACCATAGTTCTATGATGGGAAAACTCGATCAGAGTTAAAGGATCTCATGCCACATAGTTGAATTCCCATGGAGTGGGAATGGAATACATTTAAATCTCTGATGTTCCAAATTGCAGACTTAAGACAAATGTTTGGAAACTCCAGGAGGAGAGACTTTACCCATATGGAAGAGTTTTGTAATAATGAAAACTCTCCAAAAAGCTTGTTACTTTAAAGTAAAGAGAATTACTAAGAAAAAAATAACTGAGTACAGAATGAGGACCAAAACCAAACAAATAAACCAACCAAACAACAGTCCACATTTGCCTGGGAACAAAATGGACAATATAGTGCTTTGATGTGTATTATGGGCTGAATTGTGTTTTTGCTTCCCCCACCAAACAAACAAACAAAAAGTTTCGCTGGAGTCCTGATCTCAGAAAGTAAAACTACTTAGACACAGGATTTTATAGAGGTAATTTAGTTAAAACAGGTCTTTAGTGTTGGACCTAATGAATAGGACTGGTGTCTATTTAAAGAGGGGAAATTTGGACACAGAGACAGCGACACACAGAGGGAAGACAAAGTGAACAGACACAGGGAGACCAGCATCTATAAACCAAGGAACGCTGGAGGCTGGCAGAACCAAGGAGAGAGGCCTGGAACGCTCTCAGAAAGAACAAACCCGGCTCACACCTTGATTTTGGATTTCTAGCCTCTAGAACTGTGACAATCCATCTCTGGTGTTTAAGCTGCCTAGTTTGTGGTACTTTGTTATTAGATCCCCAGCAAATGAATGCAACACATTGGCAAGGAGAACAAAGTGGAACCAGGGGTCGGGGGTCAAGTGTGAACTCTGTCTCTCTGGCTCATCCTGTGTGTTTAGAGCTTACCACGGTGTCTGGAAAAGAGCAATGGATGAATGAGATCATCAGGGGATGCAAGCAAGAATAAATTAAAAAAATGAGTAAACCTAAGTGACAGGGATTTAAACTAGAACTTTCGAAAAGCAGAGGAAACGACAAGATAGACAGACAAGAAGCACGGTACTGAATTAGCAAAAAAAATCAGAGATGCTCAATAAGCCTCAGAAGAGACTAATAAAAAGTAAGAACTGTAAAGGGCCAAGTTCAACATTCTCACTCTGGCCGGGTTCTCAGTTTATTTAAGACCCATGATAAAGGTGCTAGGCTGCTCTGGGCTCTGTTCTCCATCTGTCAGGTAACTGGACTGTCTAATAGCTACATACTATTTAACTTGTGTTCAGAGTCCCAGGTAGCGATATAAAAATGAACCAAGTGGAACTGACACTTCAAACAAAGGAGGTATCGTTTAGATTATCAACAGGACTTGCTAGGATGGGTGCAGACTGCGGCAATGAAAAGGTAAGCAGTCAGGGTCTTTTAATACATGTCTTACCTCACTGTTTCTATGCTTATAATCCTTCCTTTAATACATTTATTCAATAAACATTGAAGGCCTGCTTCATGCCAGGTGCCATTCTAGGCTCTTAGGACTGCAGCAGCAAACGAAGCAAAATTCCTGTGCTGGTAGAGGCTATGTTCTACTGCAGAAGGAAGATGATATTTCATTTAACATACAATATATTAATAAGTAATATATACACATTTAGAGGGTGCAGGGATTCATGGTGATAGACTTACTTAGAGAATGAGGTAAAGAGAGTTTCTCTGTGGAAGTAAAATTTACGTAGAAACTTCACACAGGAGCCAGTCAGGCAAAGATCTGGGGAGACAGAGAGCTCCCAACAGGGGTGCTGGGTAGGGATGAGGTTGGCACATTCAAAGAATGGCAGTAAGTGGCTGAGGCAGAGCGAGAAAGAGGGGTAAATGTGAGGACCTATGAGGTTGTGAGACAGGCAGAGACTAGATCAGACGGGTCCTTCTTAAGACATTTCTAATACATTCTGATGTTTGATGAGAATCTACTGGAGAGTTTAAGTTGTGGAGTGGGTAACATAAACTGATGTAGCTTTTAGAAAATCACCTGAGGTGCAGTTTAGAGTCTGTAAGGAAGGCAAGAGCGGAGGGGGTCCAGTGAGTAGGGCACACTGTAAATAAAAAATGACGGTGGCTTGGTCTAGGCTCCCCATAGCCAAGGGAAATAAATCCAAACTCGAATTGCCAAATCACAACTGCTGGGACCTTGTTCCTTACTTTCCAGTTTCATCTACCGTAAACCTCTTTCTTTTCCTCTTTGCTTTATGTCTGTTCACCACTCTGAATCTTGACCTCTTCTTTTCCCTCTACTTAGAATGACCTCTTTTTCTCTTCATGGTCGTCCAGCAGAGATCTCACCTTCCTGTTTTAGAACCTCCTCTTTGAAACACTTTCCGGCACTTCCAGGAAGAGACCTTACCACAGAATCTGATATAGTATAAAACTTATCTTTCACTCTGCATTATAATTGTTACTATGTGGTCTCAATGCCTGTTGAATGGTGTAATTTTTTCAACGTTATTGGTTTGAGAAAATTAACAATATGGACCTTCCTCAGCTAAACGTAAGTTAAACTCATATCACTGTGAATATCACTTAGAAGATTATTCTTGTCAGTACAACTAATACTTAGAAATTCATGCTTATAATTAAGAAATAGGTTTTAGTTTAAAACAGACTCAAAGAATGCTCAGAATTTCCCAAGAAATAAATTATAAGATTGACATTGTAGAATAAGTGTACCTAAAATGCTAAAAACAGTGCCTGAATATAAAATGGTCTACCTTGTACATGCAATAAAACAGTATTGTTGAGTTTGTATACAATTATTCCATATTAAAGCACGCACTGAGTGTGCCCAGTTAGGAAAAGGAACTACTGAATTGTGCTCCAAGGCTCAATACACATAGGATTTTTCAGGCGCACAGTATTATTCGGTAATTCTATTCAACTTCTTTTAGGATTAGATAGCCAATACTACTCATACAATCAATAACACAACCCATACAACCCACTGTATCTTTTATTTTGTACTTCTAAATCCCAAGTGAATACTGTGAGGAAAAAGTATTGACACGCTGAATCTCTTTTTAAACTGAGTTCATTTAAATTAAGGGTACAGGGCCAGATGTTAAGTAAATGATCAATATAACAACTGGAAGAACCTATTCTAATGACCAAAGCCTTGAATATAACTTTAAAATACTATTTAAAAACAGACTGTCAAAGTTTTCCAAGTAACTCTTTAGGTGAACTTATAGGCCACAGTTGTAAAAATAAATACACATATATCATAACCGAGTTAAAAATACTTCTTGTAATATATGTAATTCCAGAAACAAAGCTACACATAAAAAATTCTCTCTAAATTGAATGAACTCCCAAGGTACCAGCAGTTCCTTGGCTTAACATTTACAACTACTGTATCCACATGAAGACAGTTTTACTTTTAGGATACACTGTTTGAGAAAGTATATAATAACAAAATGCCCCCATGAAACTGGAAAACTTGGAAAAGAATTTTTAATCTACTAATATGATTATTAATATGCCTGTATACTAACAATAGACTTACAGTTACATATAATGGCATATTTTTCAGCCCACAGCCAATGTTTAACATATATGGGTCGCTGGCAATATAGCAAGGTCTCAGAAAAACCTATTAAGAAGCTTTGGGGTTTGAAGATCTAGAGTTCAGAAACCAGTGCACTAGGGGAACTCATAATTCGAACACAAATCTTGTTTTAAATAGAACTATCATATTTGTCAATAACCTTCTAAAGAGCTGTATTAGATTTTCTTAGGTAGGATATACCTGCTTTTATGGTCAATTATCAACATTTCTTATTCTCAGTCCAACATATCTGTATACGTTCTTTTCCCTTTGATGCATATTAAATAATTAAACCCTTATTATTCAAAGAAACATAAAAATTAGTTTTTCTTCTGTAAGCACTAGGACTAAGGCTTTCCTGAGGTTAGATTAAGAAAGTTGCCAGAAACAAAATAAGCATGGATGAACTATGAAGATTATGTTACACTTTCTGCCTTACAAAATCTCTCTTTTGAGTAGCAAATGTTCTAAGCTCTTCTATAAAAACGTTCTGGCTGGAGAAAGACTAGATTGATTAAATGATCTCCAAGGACCCCCCCACTAAAGAATTCCAGTATCTAGGTGTTGAAATTGATGATCTTCTTTTGCCTTATCGATTCATGATCAGTGCTTATTCCATCATACTTGAATATGAACATTAATTATATTCACTGAAATCAGCCTACACCTGACACTTGGGAGATTTCACAATTAGAACAAAACTTTCAGTCTCATTAAATCATTTTCTTTCTCATTTTGTCTCACGTCATATGGGAATTTTTTTTTTTGGTATTTTTACATAGATGTGTAATTTTCTATTTTTCCCTAAATTTCTAATGACATAGTCTTCACTGAAATTTAGAATTAGGTTTCTAAGGTGCCTGCCTTCTAAAGTCTGCAAACACACAATTAACATCAACTCATCCATTATCTTCTAACTGAAAAGAAGCACTCTTACCGTGTAGCCCTCGGTATACTGAAAAGGAGCCCTGGAACTTTCGTCTGCAGTTGGACTCAGAGGCTTGGGGTCAGACATGGACCGCTGCATCATCTTGGCGGTCTTAGGACTTGCCGGGGGAACTTTAGCCATATCTGGATGCAGTACTTTCTGTGGACTTACATCATCAGGGAGGGGTTTCTCATAAGGTACAAAGGCTGATTCTAAGGCTTTCCCTGGTGAAAGTGGTGAGATGGGTGAATAAAGGACCTTTGGAGATTTGGGCGGGGAAGGAGCCAGCTGTAATGTGGACTCTGCCCGGAGGTGAGATGAATAACCGATCTCTAAAGGTGTTGGGCGCTTCTTGTCTCTGGGTGGAGATGTGGCGCTCAGATACTGAGGGCTCTGTGTGTCTGAATCTGCTTCTGTTTGACAGCCTACACTGCCCCCTTTGTAAGTCTTTTCAGGTGCAGAAATGTGTTTAATTATTTCTACCTTGGCATCCATGCGTGCCCGTATTGAAGGTGTTCTTATGGTTCCGACTGGTTCAGTTTGCACAGATATCTCTGCTACTGTCTGCACTGCTATACTGGAGACTTTGGAAAGGGGTTTGGTCTTGTCAGCCTCTGCGGTGCCGTTCCCGTATTTCCCTACACGAGGTTTTCTCCTTGATCTTGTAGGCACATCCCATTCATCCTGATCTTCGTCGTCAGTCTGTACGCTTGTATCCACGCTCTTTTTAGCTCTCCGCCTCCTGCTCACATAACTCCGATCCGTGGCATCTTCATCGTCAGTTTGTACACCACTGTCCACTATCTTTTTAAAGCAGCGGGGATCATCTGCCAGACTGTCCCCCATCTCATCGTACTGTCCACGGACTTTAGATCCAGAACTTCTCTTTTTGGGTGGTTTCTCATCTTTCACAACAACGTCTGTCAGGGGGATTTCTGAAACACTACTCAGGATTCCAGGTGGGGCAATGTACTGAGTCACGCCATCAGACTGAACTGTGTACCATCCTTGGCTCTGTGGTATTTCAATCGCCACCACGGCTGAGGCTGTGGTGGTTGTATCTTCAGCTGCCCAAAACTGACCACCTTCTGGCGCAGCATACTGACCTTCCAAAATGGCCTGCTCTGCAGTGGTTTGTGGAGAAGCTGTCCCAGAAGGGTCATAGTTGTACTGGTAGATCTGGCGAATCTTCTGCTCCTCTAGCTGCTGGTGAAGTTGTTGCTGCAGCTGCTGGATCTGTTCCAGCTGCAGTTGTTGCTGAGCCAGCGTCTCCTGCCTCATCATGAACTGGGCTTGCCGCTCTTCTTCCTGCTGATAGAGGAGGTGCTGCTTCATTGATTGCAGCTCTTCCAGTTTCTTCTGAACCATGATCTTTTCCTGCTCTCGGAACCTTTGAATTTCCTGCCGTTCCCACTCCAATTCCTCAGCAAAACGCTGTTGCTTAATTTTCTCCAGTTCCAGGAGCTCACGCTCCAAGTCCAGCTGCTGCTGTTGTTTATCTTCTTCAGGGACAATTAGGAGTGCACTTTCCTCTGCCACCACTCCAGAAAAGACTTCAGATGCTGTGGTTAAAGTGGGAACTGAGTCCATTGTCTCAGCAGTAAGAGTTTCCATAGTGATAGTTTGCAGACTGGCACTGATATCAATACCGGTTACCGCAATGTCTGTTTCAGATGCACCTGTCGTTAGGAAATATGATCTAGGCAGCGGCTGGCTCTGGTGCAGGGCGGAGAATGAAGTCACCGCCTCAGTTGTGTGCACGCCAGACAAGTCCTTGACTGTGGTGCTGAAAATGGAGCCTGGTTGTGTGGTGATAGCAAATGTGGAGGGAATCGGAGTCGCTACTGAAGAATAGACAACACCGTTAGATGACCTCAAGACACTCCCCACACCATACTGGGATCCTGGAGGTGGAGTCATCCTTGCTGTGGAATATTGTGGGGTACTAATCCCGACTCCTGAAATGACTTGTCGTGTTTCTGGATATGGGCCTGTGGTCTTGCTTGAATAATCCATTACCTCACCTGAAATACAGGGTAGAGTTATAGTCCAGTTCCCAGAACGAATGATGCTTTTTGGTTTTGAAAGCCCTCTCAATCTTGAGGAACATAACGAATGGGAACGCATGCAAATCCACAGGTTAACCTACTTAGATGCGGAACAAAAGCAACGTTGAACATGCAGGCACATGCAGGCGACTCTGGTAGAACAAATTAAAAAACGGAGAAACAAAAGCGCACATGTACTCCAAAATATGTTGCCAAAACATCCAAAGAAAGAGCAAATGTAACAAAACTGGAAAAGGGACCACATTTTCATCTTGAAATGAGATGAGGAACACCATAATGATACTTCAAGGAAAGGTCTGCTGCTACATCATACTGACCTGCAGTCATTCTCCCTGAAGTTAGATCTACTGCTGCATCAGTTCCTCCAGAATAATCAAATGCATTCTTACTTTTATAAAAAAAATGTCCAGCCTCCGCTAAATTAGTGTCAGACATGGAAGGCTTCATTCCCCCAATCCCTCTATAACCATATGGCCCTGATCGGTCATACTGATAATGATCATCCCTATAACCAAACCGATCCTCGGGGAGTGTAGTTGCAGGCTGCTGGGCCGTGCAGCTCCTTCCAAAAGGTAACTTATAAACCACATCACAGCACACAGCTCTTCTTCCTGCTGTCAGATCAACAGGTTTTTCATCATCTTCTATTATTTTGGTCACCACGTGTGAAGTAGCTTCATCCATGGTCACAACAGTTCTATGAGACTTTGTTGTACTGAGATCCACAACTTCCCCATCAGGGATCCCCTGGGATGCGGTGCTATCAGTCCATCCATTTGTGACCCCAACAGGAGGCGCAGTAACAGGTTTTGTCACAGCTGACGTCACTGCGTGCGCTGAAGTACTTAATGATAAGTTCATTGGTGCTTCCTCCCTACCTGAAGCAAAGGCCTGGCCCCTTGGTACCCTGCATGGGGGCTCAGCATGCTTTGACGTAGTGAGCTGGAGCGGTGCTGTTGTTGCATGTCCTACGCCCACTAGGCTTTCTGTGGCTGTGGTGTAACTTGGACTAGCTGCGCTCGTGACAGCAGTCACTGCCTCGGTGACCAGGGATATTGGCGTCCCTACTGACGAAGTTGCACTGAGATTGATAATAGAGGGTTGGACAGCACTGATCTGTCTCCCATAAATTTCACTTGCTGTGGTCTGCCTTTTCACATCCATCGCAGAAGCAGAAAGATCCATACATTTTTCAGGCGTTTTAGCCTCTACTTTGGGTACTGTACGCAAATCAATGGCATCGCTAACAAGTTGCAACTTTGCATTTTCTTGAGGTGGACGTTTCTCTGAATGTAGGCTATCTAGAGCAAGAGGCTCTGGAGGAACTGATACAGAGACACTGCTGAGACCAACACCAGGGACTGCACTTCTGGCTGCCAAAACCTCAGCCTTGGAAACTTCAGCTGGGAGAAACTGTGTAACTAAGGCTGGGGCTGCTTGAAATGAAGATGGTAATGTGACAGGGATAGCAGAAAGTGTCTCCAAAGCTCCTGAGATGTACAGACTCTGTTGTGAAGGACTTGATATTTCTGCAGCTGTTGCAGGAGGAACTACAGAAAATATTGGTTCAACAGAAACCAAATCTTTGGGGGGTGATCCCAAGGGCCAACTGGTAATTACTTGACTAATCGAAGAATCTGTTGGAGTCCCAGGTTCAGATGGCAATGTGATAACCACATAAGTTTCCATGAGGGATTTGGAAAATCTTGGCGAGGATTTGTTAGAGTGAGGGGAAACTGGGGAGGTAGGGGAAGGCAATTTATAATCTGCTGAAGTGACTAGATTTAATGTCATAGTTGAAGTTAAAGGCAGACCTGCTGGTTTGGGGTGTGCATCTGTTGGTTTCTGTGTAGTTGCCAGAGGTTGAGGAACTGCTGGTTTAGGGGCAACTGGAGGTTTGCTTGGCTCAGGTCTGTGTGTAAATACAAGTCCAGTTGGAATCGAAGATGGCTTAGGGGGAACAGGAGGAGGAGCAGTGGTGCATATTCTTGTGGAAGGTAACCCATTACTTCTTGAAACAGCTGTGGTCTCTGCTGTAGTAACAGAATCGACCAGAGGTGCAGTGGTAGTAGTTACAGCCACTGGAGCTGTAACCGCTACCTTTTTTTTAGGATGAATAGTTGGTTTAGGTGAGGTTGGTGGAGGAAGAGGTGGGGGAGGAGGAGGGGGGTGGAGGGGGAGGGGGGAGGAGGAGGGGGAGGAGGAGGGGGAGGAGGCGGAGCTGATGTGTCCAGAGAAGAACTTCGAAGGAATGGACGAGCTTTAGTTGGAAGAGAGGAAACAGGAGGAGTGCCAGATGGTAATTGAGATGCAGGTTTTGCTTGACCAAAAAGCTCTTCAGATACAAAGCATATAGTTGAAACCTTCTCCTTCATTGGAAGGGCTATTGCAGAAGAAGGTGTTTGATCAAACCGAGTTTCAGATAAGCTAATTTTTGATAGTTCAGCCTCAGACTCCTTCCTTTTATCTCTGTAAGCATCTAAAACTTCTAGAATAATCCCATTCCCCATTTCCTTCTTGGCTTTCTTCACTGGCTCTTTCCCAGATGTAGATAAGTCAGTGGAAACAATTAGCTCCTCAGGTTTCATTCCTACAGATTCCATGGGAGGAGGTTCCACATCAGGTAAGGAAATCACAACATGATCAGCACTAGCTCTACCATCTGGTATGGCAGTCCGATCTAAAGGTATACTTATATCTTCCGGATAGTCTATAACGCTGCCTGGGAAATACGTTGATGAAGAAATTTCCTCAGAATCTGCAAATTTGGTTACAATGTCCACCGGCTCAGGATAAACTGTGGTTATGCTATCCAGGGTAGTAATGGGTGACGAGCTATCTGTGGTACAAACTGAAGAAACCGATGACGTGAGAGAAGGTGTGTCAGAGGGTGGGACAGATGTAGCACTTTCTGAAGGCTCAGAGTAGGTCAAAATCAGTGACTCATGAGCAATTATCTCTTGAATTTCTCTTGTATAATCAGTGACATATTCATCCTCAATTTCTTCTGCTGAAAAATGTTGGGTTATTTTAACATCTGGGATGGAGAGTGTTGCACTGCTGGTCGAATCTGTGAGAGATGCTCCTGAGAGAACACTTGATGTCAAAGATGCGTCAGGCACCCTATCAAAGTCCAAAGTGGACTCTGTCATATCATCCCTGATGAGAGGCTGGGTTGGACTGGATCCAGGTGTTAACTGCATCTGCTGCCTTTTCATGAGTTCTTCATAGGCAGCATCAGCATCTAATAATTTTTTTTCTTCACTGGTAGAAGTTACCATGCTACCCAGATCCACAATTTCATGGCTTTCCGGGATGATATAAGAGCTCGAAACAATGTCTTCTTGAGGCAAAACTGCATGTAAGCTTTCTAACTCATAAAACTCTTTCTGGAGGTCTGTAATTTTCTGCATAGGATCTTCATAAATCTGTTCTGGAAGTCTTATTTTTTGCTCTCTCCCTCTCTGCTGCATAAATCCATTTTCTTCTTCTTGCCTCGGTAGCAGACTGCCAGCTACTGAACCATTATATGTGTCCTCTACTAAAGATTCATAAATATAATCCTCTATTAACATCCCACCATACAAAGGCTCTTTTTCAAACATTTCATCTTGTTCATTTGCAGCTGGAAAAGCTTTATATTTCTGGGTTTTATGCATCATTTCTTCATACATCTCCTCAGCACTTTTTAACGCCTTTTGGCCAACTTCTATCTGCCTAATAGATTGCTCATCTGTCGGTGAGTATAAAGACACAGCTGTGGGCAATTTATAAACTTTTTGTACTTCTATTATTTTTTCTGGGCTTATTTCAAAACCCTCTGGGTCTGACTCTATGCTTGGTGAATATTCAGAACACGAGGATCGATGGAGTTCCTCCATTTCTGCAGCCTGACGCAACTCTTCTGTTGGAGATGCATCTTCAATGGGGGAGAGATTACTGGGTGGTGTCTTTGGTCTTTCCCGCCTTCTCTGAGCTCGGAGTTCATCTTTGTCTTTCTTGGATTTCTTACTGGAGCTCTTTCTTTGCTGCTGTTCTAATTCCCGCTGCTTTTCTTGCTCCTTCAATAATTCTTCTTCCTCTCTCAATTCTTCTTCCTCGGAAGAATCTTCGATTGTAGGTAAAAGAGGGCCATGGGATCTGTGTCGAGCTTTGCGTTGCTGTTTGCTCTCTCCTTTTTTGTGACTTGGGCTACTGTCACTGTCCTCATCAAGTGACGAGACTGATGTTGGGGAGGTGCCAGGAGTGAAGCTGGAAGCATGAAGACTAGAAGATCCTTCACCCCTTGACCGATCTTCTGGAGAGTCTGTCAGGCTTTCCATTTCTAACTCTGGCTCTTCGTCAAAATACAAAGTCGTTTTTTTCTGCGATGACTCTGCAGAATATTTATCTGCTAATGTACTGTTGAGTTCAATGGTTTTGAATCGACGTAGCCCCCCTCCTCCAGCTGTTACAAGCTCTTCACTCTCCTGACTTTTAGTTTCTCTGTATTTAAGTTCAGGACTTTCATCAAATGTCTCATCGTCTTCATCGTGCCATGAATGGCGTCTGCCGGCATCTTCATCAAAGCTCGCACTACTTTTTCGAGTCAATCGCCTGTGTTTCCCTGCTGTTACTTTCCCCTTCCCTTTTGTTTCTTCCTTCTTCTGGCTCTCCATACTACCACTAATCTCTTTGAGCTGGTTCCTAATGAACTCATCATCTTCGGAACCTGAAGCATCTTCATCCGCACTCATTTCTAGGATCTGCTTTCGAATAAAGTCCTCCTCTTCACCTGATCCTTGACTATCTTCTTGTTTATATTCATCACTGCTTGATGAGCCAACACTGGTTCTCCGTTTTCTTTGTGGAACAGGTGAGTTTTCACTTTCGCTACTGTCTTCAATTGAATCATAAGGCTGCCTTCTTGGAGCCAACTCATCAACAAATTCAGACTTCTCCTCGTGGTCTTTTCTGGAAGGAATGTCTTGCTGGCTCTCTTTTTTAAAAATGTCTTTTTCTTCTTGACTTTCTTTCAGCTCTTCCTCTGAAACTGTAGATTCCAATGTTTCAGCTAAAGTCGGAGTTTTCTGTTGGTCCTTAGGCTGCTCAGGAGTAACCTCAAGGGGTTGGGTTCTCTTTTCTGACTTTTCTTCAACAAGTGTACTTGCCTGAGCTTCCAAAATGGATAGGACTGTACTTTCCAACTTAGCCAAATCTGAGGGGCTGGAAGGGCTGCTTTCTTGTGAAAAGGAGTCCTTTTTGAGCCCCTTGAGCAAATCCTTTTCATCACTTGGAATAAGACTTGGAATTTCACCAAGTGAACTTGATATTCCATCAGAAGAATAACCTGTGTCACTCAGACCTTGTGGGCTTTTCGGCTGCTGAGAACCTGAAGCATCTGATTTGTCATCTTCCTTTTCCTAGCAGGGAGGAAAAGATACAGGAAAACTTAACATGGTTAAACTAGTAACATGGCCTCTCCATCACTCCCAAATAACTATTAAGAACTGAGCAATAACTACGGATTTTTTTCAACTATATAACATTAAAAAAAATATATATATATATATATGAATGGGCACAAAAAATAAAAATAGTTGATACATACTGATTAAGGTTAGTTTTTATTTAAGTTTAATTAAATGCCAATTCTCAATGACAAATGATTTTATTTCATTAGTGTTGTAACCTTTTACATTTCAATACCATTTTCCTTCAAAACACAATAATCTTTCTCAGCACCTTTACTGTGGGAAAGAGTTCAAATGGTCAAAGAAAAATTTCAGTAAGCATCCATTAACATAATGAATACTTCTGCATTATGAGGACAGGCAAAGAAAGAATCAGAGGATGGGCTTTGTACTTTGCCTACAAGTTGTATGAGATGTTGAAAAATTTACTCAGCAGAAATAAGCAGGTAACATAGCCATCATGATATTCATCTCACCTATCGTAAAAAAAACTTTTTGAGAGAGATTCAAACAAAGTATTGCCTTTTAAAGACATTTTGAAAGATGTAAAACACTATATTTTACTTGGTATAGTTGTTAATATTATTATTCTGTATCACTTGAAATGAATGTTTAGAAATCATTAAAATTTGAAATTCAAAGCTAGGCAATAATTGGTTAGACTCAATGCTTTAGCCAAAGAGAAATACCCAGACACTATTTCTGTAGAGTTGTTAAGTCCCATTTACCTTCAGCATCCCATCTCAAAGGTATTTAATAAATATCACTTATAAATGTCTTTAGATGTGAAAATACATAAAATTTTACCTTCACACTATTTCAAAGGCAGCTATCTTCAACCAACACAATAACTAACTTGTGAATGGGAACATGGGCTTTCCAGGGAGCTGGGATACTTAATAGACAAATCACAGTCTCAAATAACTGCTTTTCCTTAGGCTGTGATGAAGCCATGCCAGCAGTTTGAGTCAAGAATTAGAGAGGTCTTAAATGAAAATATTAAACAAGACTTTTTGCATAAATCCAATTTAAAAATACCTATGAGCAAAATGAAACCCAACTGATCCAATTAGTTTCCATGTTCTGAGAGCATCAAAATAACCCCACAGCCCTGTGGAATGGAGATCTGACAAGGGAGTTGCAGGAGGACATTCTCTGTCTGGTCCTGCCTACAAGGCCACCTGGATTCCACTAAGTTGGTATCTTGAACTAACCATCTCGATGTTTTCAGGGGGTACATGGGCATGGGTTCCTCCCACTTATCTATAGCCCAGGCAAACAGATACCAGGTTGGACAACAAACCAAAGCCATGCAAAAACCTCTTTGTTTCCTCCTCCCTGCCTTCGTTCCTTCTCTCCTTTCTTCTTTCCTTCGTTTTCTTTTCCTCTTCCCCATCCCCCAGTCCTCTCCCACCTCCCCTCCTTCTTTGAGCTACAGAGTTCTCAAATATACAAGTTGTTGGTTTGGTACTCATTTTACATTCATTTTCATCTCAATATCTGTCTTTATTATGTATGGCTAAAGATGCATCTTGTGCAAATTATAGGGTAAAATGCTTTTGCTGAACATGGCAATTCGAAAAGATAGTCTGATACACTCTTGGCAACTTCAATGCAAAAAGCAATGCCTGCTCTTTGGTTTACTAAGAATCAACTTCCCTGGACCGTTTCAGATGTCTTTCCAGGAAAGGATTACCTCTGTGACTATAGTAGTTGGGCTGACAAGCACCCAACTAACTGGTTCATTTCCCCAAAGAGCCACACACTGAAGAGCTAACCACAGGTGAAACACTGTTCTAATAAAATCTTTCTGGATGGTCACCATACTTCCATCTCCTCAAATCCCACACCATACCGGAGCACTTTTTTTTGAGTCAAGTACGCTTTTTATGTCTTCCCTTGTCGGCCTTCCCACCCTTTGCTAAATCACAGTAAACACCATCAACATAGGGTGATTATATATATAATCTATATAATCATTATATATAACAATTCACTGAGGATAATAAAAGATAAATTATAACACTATCCTGCAGATTCTGAAGGTTCCACTGACATTTTACAAAAAGAGGATTAGGATCAGACATACATAATGTAACAAAGGAAATTAAGATACATTAGACAGAAGACTCAGACACATAAATACCAAAATCTCTACCCTATAATCCCCTTGGGTGCCTTTCTCCACGTGCTTGGGCTTTCCTTCTTTCCTCAGTGCTACGTTCTGCCCACTTCTCCCTCCTGCCTCTTTCTTCCCGGTCTCTTTCCTCCACACTCCTCTATAGATTCCACCATCATCTACCTATGGTGATGCTGTGATAATTTTTCACTCTAAGTGACCTCCTCTCCATATTCTAAGGTGGTGACAGTCTGCAAAGATTTTGTGCTATAGGTATGTGGGTCTAAGATAACATGTCTGGAGTGGTTAATAAGGAAATCAAGTTAGGTGACCAAAGGGCATTTGGCTAAACTGTTCAGAAGGAATAACTGGTCACGCACTTACTGTACCATGATATGCTAGAAAAATTCATGATGTCAGTTCTTCTCATACTAATCAGGTGTAAACTCCCCTGACAGAGGTGCGTGACCTTCTGATTCTTTATTACTTGTTAAACTATCGGGTCATACACCAACCAGTCCCTCTGCCCCTTTAATTTAAGGTACCTAGGCATTCCTCTTTTACCCTGCTGCTGTTTAAAAAGAAAAAAAAAAAGAAAAAGAGTTCTTCCTACATGGAGATCAGTATACCGGGGTGCTTGTCTGTCTATCCATTTTTCCTTTCTGTAGCTAGCTGCTCTCCTTTGTGAGATGCTTGGGTGAAAGTTCTAATGCAATTTGTATTCATGCAGGTTAACTAGTCTATTATAGATTTAACACCACAAACCCTTGCTTTATGAGTATTTCTTAACAAAGGAATAATCTGATCAACCAAGAAAGAGTAGCTAGAACTGAGAAGAATGTAAAACAGTGTGTGAATTGAGTCTGGTTTTCTCTGATTATTCAAACTTCAAATGCACATCTGAAGTGCTGTAATTCTAGAGGAATAAGATCAAAGGATTCATGTGAGGGAGGCTTCTTTCAAATTTCTAACTCCCTAGGACTAAAAGATTGGGAGTTTTCTCTCAGTTGCTTCAAAAATGTGTGGTTGTATGCTTATTTTTGAGACGAACATTAAGCTTTCAGTAACATTAAGATTTAATAAAATGAATAGATTCAAATGGTTCTTTCTAAATTACATGCAGATATTACATATATAACACATGTATATACATGTGTTTAAATACCACTGACTTTTCTTATTTATGCATTATTTTCATCACTTGAATAGACAGGAGTTAGAATTAATTATCCACTTCATTTTTGACCTGTGATATAAACAGAATCTGGAATGACCTCTGAAATTATTACATAAGAATAAAATTTCAGGTAGAGACCCTCTGCATGAGAATTTTGTCATCTTAGATGAAGGCAGTGAGTGGGACAAGTCATCATCTAAACATACTTTTCTTTTAAAACAGCCATGTTATTTTTCAGTTCCCTGAGGAACACATTTTCCCTGTTGTTCTAAGCACATTTAGTATTAGGCTCTTCTTACACTGACTTTCACTTTTTGTATGTATTACACTCTTCCCCATGTATAGAATTATGGTACTCAAGCCTTTATAGTCTGTGTATATGAAACAAATATTCAAAAATTTCAGATACTCAGATTCATATTTTTTTCACTTATTAAGCAAAAACAGTACAGAAATCTTTTCCTTCCAATATTCCAGTGCCACTTATCGAGCTGGAGATAGATCAGAGAGAGGCAGTGATGAACTGAGACCCACCTGAACCCCTTCCCATGGTGTCACATCCTGAGGCCTCTCTAATGGTGGAGAACATACCAAGACACTTTACTACCAAACTAAATTCTGCCCTTTCCATGTTGAAGGTAAATGGAAGGTTTTTAAAATGTCATTGGACCTATGAACTGAATTCTTGATTAAATACAAGACTGTACAAAGAAAGAACGTGATAAGTTTTTGCTTAATGTTTCCCAAGTCACTTACTTTAATAGGCCAAAGTAAAACAATAAATGATAATCTTTAATCATTTATACAATGTTTGGGTCAAAACAGATTGCTGATCTGAGTGTTTCAAACACTCTAAACAAGATTAGGTCCACAAATTCACTGGTCATGAAGAGAAAAAAGGATAGTCCCACACACATAGGAATCCTTTCCACTGCAGAAAATCTCACCATTTTCCATCTATGTAATTATGCTGCCTATACAATGGCTATATATAAATTGAATACTAACCCCTGGGACATTTTAACCAAAAATAAAAGTTATGCTAAAAGAAAGTTTATGCTAAAGGAGTTCCTAATTTTGTTTTTTATCAAGAGAGCTATAATATTTCAATGTAATATATCAAACACAGACAAGCAGTACTCTATTTAAATATGTAAGTAAAAAGAATTCGGGAGCAACATGCAATTTAAAAATATTAAACCAAAAAAAGTAACGAAGAATGTATCTTTCAGATTATTATATTTCAGGATAAATTTTAATTCCATTTGACAAACGCATTTGGAAGACAGGAATGAATGGACAGACAAAACACTGTGGCAATAAAGAAACATAAACAATACGTGTAACAGTATGAATGACACAAATGACAAGTGAATAAATAAATAAAATAACAAACATATAAACAAAGTGAAAAATTACACCAAGTGTTTGGAATTTCAGTGGGAGCTGCTAGGGGAGATAGAGAATTATAATACTGGCAAGGCAGGGTGCCAAAAGTGTCGCGGGAGAAGTACTACGTGTAGTGTGCAGGAGCCCAGCCTTCACAGTCAGAACTGGACTATGACCTTAGCCTTGCTAAGCCATGTGATCTTGGGCACAACAAATTTAGTTTCTTCCTCTCTAAAACATATATAATATTTACCCCTTCAAGAG